TATGAATAGTAAGTATGAAGTGTAAGATTTTATCAAACAATGTGATATTAATGTATTATTTCATAAATGTAGTTTTTAGTTAAAAAAATATTTTAGTCATACAAAAGATACTATCAAGACTGCTTTATGTTTAATTTTATGTTTATATAAATATGTATCAATTAAAAATATATTTAATAAAATTTATATCAATATAACATTTTATTTATAGGTCCATAAATAAAATTTTAAATCAAATCAAGCGCTATGCGATCACGTTTTAACTGTCCTAACATTCTTATTCTATTATTACTGTAAACACATTGCTGAGTTGGAAATGGAAGTTCTTCATAGTCTAAGTAGTCGAGCGTATCATTTTCATTTATACATAAATTATGTAATACGCAGCAAGCTATAATGAATTTAGCCATTAACATTACAGACCACATATCGAGTCTTGTCAATTGTCGGAATCTGTTCTTCAATAATCCAAACGCGTTTTCAATTTTAATTCGTGCTCTACAAAAATGTTTATTAAAATTAGCTTGCACTGGTGTCACTTGTCCATTGTATGGTGTCAAAAGATTTATAGATATTGGATAAGCTAAATCTCCAATAATGTGATAATAATCACCCATTGCGGACACTTTTTCTTGAACAAAAGATATATCATACACACGAGCATCATGCAGTTTACCAGAAACTCCAGTAAAACAATCTATAAATCTTTTTTGCGCATCACATATGCCTTGCAAAGTAAGTGCAGTTTCGTCGTGTCTATTTACATAAGTATGACGAATTTTTTTCGCAGGTGTTCTAATCGGAATATACGTGCCATCTATACATCCCACAATTCCATCAATTCCACATATTTGTCGAAATTCTTGAGCGTTATCTTCACGTTCTTGATCCGTTGCAGGAAATCTAATTACTGTAGGAGTCAAATCTACTAAGAAATTTGTAACTCTTTTAATAATAAGATGCACCGTAGCGATTGGCATATCAAAACGGTCTGCTACACTTCTTATTACTGTTATATTTGCAGAAAACCTGTACATATTATTAAAAAACACATATATT